GAATCTAATTAGATGAAATTCAATAGGAATAAATTGATGTAAAGTCTCACACAAGTTAAAAAAATCAGCGTGGTTGGAGGACACATGGTTGGACCGCAGTTTGTCTGAACAGAACCTGTAGGGGAGGGGCTTAATAGACTTTTAAACTCAATATGGGTCAGCAGGGTGATGGGGCAGCAGAAAGGCTAATGCAACATTAGTCTGCAGTGAGAGAGGCAAGGCTCCAGAAATCAGCGCTATCCCTCTGTGCGCCAGGAAGGACATGGGTAAGACAAGAGAGTGTGGGGAGGAGGACCACCGGCCAGGAGGAGGACCAGTACCTGGGGATGGGAGTCCAGAGAAGACCCAGGGAGGATGTGATCGCTGGGCACCGGTGTTCAATCAAGTGTCACCCAGAGGAGCACCATGACATAGCTTTTCCACCTATTTGCTGTCACTGCCCCCCACGCACTCTGCACGGTCAAAGGGTCTGCTTGCCCTCCCCCCACAGAGCACGTCACATCTCCCCTCCACGCCCAGATCCAGAGTGCGCTGGGCTGGGTCTCTGGCTCCCGTAGATGCTCAGCGCAGGGTCTGCCTTGTACACAGCTTCGCCCCCCTCCCGCCCTACCCCTGCCAGGTTGGAGCTCTCTCCCTTCATATTGTACATATTGTACCCTTGCTTTGCCTTGCACCCACTCCCTGAGCTCCAGAGCATCGGCAGCTCCACTTTTGTCTTTGTGCCTGGCACACGTGTGCATGGTAGGTGTTTAGAGGATCAATAAATGTGTGTTGAACTGAATAAGTCAGAGGTGCAGTTCTGGGTACACAAAATTTACAATATAGAGAAATATGTTAGAAAGACTATATTAGGGGGGAGGCAGAGCCAAGATGGTGGAGTGAAAGCAGTGACTTGCTTGAGCTTTCCCCCAAACCCCTCCAAATACCTATAAAAAATGGCTCTAAACAAATTCTAAAGCAGCAGAATCCACAAAAAGACAGAGTGAAGCAAATTTCCAGCCGAAGACAACCTGGATGATTGTTCGGAAAGGTACATTGCACCAGGCAAGAAGAGGAGCACAGTGTGGCATGGGGGCACAGGCCGCAGCGACCCTGGAGCAGGTCTCAGAGGACTGAATCACAGGCAGCTGTGGTGAATTCTAGACTTCTCAACGCAGGAACACCAAAGAAAACTTAGAAGGTCAGTGGGAACAGTCTGTTTCTGCAGTGAGAGAGGAGCTAGGTCTCAGAGCCAGTTCCAGAGCACAGAGCTCAGAGTGCAGGCACCAGGGCGGTGGCTGCATCCTGAGCTTCCGGCCCACAGACTCTGGGGGAATTGAGTGGCTGATCAGAGAGGGATTGCAGGGATCTCTTTGCCAGTGCTGAGAACAGGAATCTCTTGCTTTGCCCATACTTGGATCTGGGTCACAGTTCTGGGTGGCAGTCCTGGGCAAGGAGGAGCGCTGGCATGGGGCAGCTTGTAATGGCTGTGGAGAGAGAAAACCTTCCTCACAGTTCCAGGACAGAAAGGAGTGCTTATGGTCACTAATAAACCAGAGCACAGGCCAGTAAAGGAGTAAACACCTCACCACCTTGCAAGAACTGAAAATTTACAGGTCCCTCTGAAAACAGCTGTATAAACCCCCGAAGCTTGGAACAGTACATTCTCCACATTGGAAGCAGACTCTTACCTTAACAAAAAGTTTAAAACTTAAGTAATTGGCCAGGATCATGAGCACACAGCGCAGAGAGTCAGACTATATTATCTTACTCTGGTGACAAAGATCAAAACATGCAACCAGAAGAAGACAACAAAGTCAAAGCTCCTACATCCAAAGCCTCCAAGAAAAATATGAATCAGTCCCAGGCCTTGGAAGAGCTCAAGAGGGATTTTGAGAAGCAAGTAAGAGAAGTAGAGGGAAAACTGGGAAGAGAAATGAGAGTGATGCAAGAAAATCATGAAAGACAAGTCAACAGCTTGCTAAAGGAGACCCAAAATAATACTGAAGAAAATAACACCTTAAAAAATAGCCTAACCCAAATGGCAAAACAGGTCCAAAAAGCCAATGAGGAGAAGAATGCCCTAAAAAGAAAAATTGGCCAAATATAGAAGGAAGTCCAAAAGATTACTGAAGAAAATACTTCCTTAAAAATTAGAATAGAGCAACTGGAGACTAGTGACTTTATGAGAAATCAAGACACTGTAAAACAAATCCAAAAGAATGAAGAAAATAGAACCCAATGTGAAATATCTCACTGGAAAAACAACTGACCTGGAAAATAGATCCAGGAGAGAGAATTTAAAAATTATTGGACTATCTGAAAGCCATGATCAAAAAAGAGCCTAGACATCATCTTTCAAGAAATTATCAAGGAAAACTGCCCTGATTTTAGAACCAGAGGGCAAAATAGAAATTGAAAGAATCCAGATCTCCTCCTGAAAGAGATCCCCAAAGGAAAACTCCTAGGAATATTGTAGCCAAATTCCAGAGTTCCCAGGTCAAGGAGAAAATATTACAAGCTGCCAGAAAGAAACAATTCAAATATTGTGGGAACACAATCAGGATAACACAAGATTTAGCAGCTTCTACATTAAAGGACCACAGGGCATGGAATATAATATTCCAGAGGGCAAAGGAGATAGGATTACAACCAAGAATCACCTACCCAGCAAAACTGAGTATAGTCCTTCAGAGGAAAAAATGGTCATTCAGTGAAGTAGAGGACTTCCAAGTATTCTTGATGAAAAGAGCAGAGCTGAATAGAAAATTTGACTTTCAAATACAAGACTCAAGTGGAACATGAAGAGGTAAACAGGAAAGAGAAATCATAAGAGACTTATTAAGTTGAACTGTTTATATTCCTACATGGAAAGATGATATTTATAACTCATGAGACCTTTGTCAGTATTAGGGTAGTGGAAGGGTGGAAATTATATATATTTATATGGGGGGGGCACAGGGTGAGTTGAAGATGAAGGGGTCATATCTGGAGAATAAAATTAAGGGATGAGAGAGGATTATACCAGGAGAAGAAGAAAGGGAGATGTAGAATGGGGTAAAATATCTCACAAAAAGAAAAGAAAAGGCTCTTACAGTGGAGGAAATGGGGAAGGTGAGAGGGAATGAGTGAATCTTATTCTCATAGGGTTTGGCTTAAGGAGGGAATAACATACACATTCAATTGGGTATGGAAATCTATCTTACCTACAGGAAAATAGGGGAGAAGGGGACAAGAGAGCAGGGGGATGATAGAGAGAGGGCAGATTGGGAAAGGGTAATCAGAAGCAAATACTTCTGAGGAGGACAGGGTCAAAAGAAAGAATAGAATAAATGGTGGGCACAATAGGATTAAGGGAAATAGAATTAGTTTTTCACAACATGTCTACTATGGAAGTGTTTTGCATAACTGCACATATATAACCTATATTGAGTTGCTTGCCTCTTCAATGAGGGTGGGTGGGGAGGGAGGAAGGGAGAAAATTTGGAACCCAAAGTTTTAAAAACACATGTTTAAAAAGTGTTTTCACATGCAAATGGGAAATAACAAATACAGGAAATGGGGTACAGAAGTCTATCCTGCCCTACAGGAAAATAGAAAGGGAAGGGGATCAGAGAAGGGGGGGAGAGATAGAAGAGAGGGCAGACTAGGGGAAGGAGTATTCAGAATGCATGCCATCTTGGGGTGTGGGGAGGGGCAAGATGGGGTGAAAATTTGGAACTTAAAATCTTGTGGAAGTAAATGTTGAAAACTAAAAATAAATAAATTTATATTAAAAAAAATAATTTTTTTTTAAAAAGACTGTATTAGGCAGAGAGCTGGCAGAAAGGTGCCCACTTGGGGACAAGATAGAGGAGGAGTCTGGGAGTCACGGGCTGGTGCAGATTTGAAGAGAGTGTGGCTGGCATGGGCACTTCCTAGTGATTTAATTAGGGGCTGTCCAAAAAAGAGTATGCATATGTCTGTACATAAGTTTACTATCAAGTTTATTGGTGTAAAGGATGGTAGCACATAATTTACAAATAATGATAAAATATGTGATGCTCTTTACTGTAAATTCAGCATAGCTCATTGATTCTCATAGAATACTTTGGTTGACTTTTGCCAAGCTGTTTTGTGCAGAGCCAACCGGTGGTCATAATTCATCCATGATGTGACAAATGGACTTCCATGGCAGACTGCTAACTTTTCCCCCAACACATTTATTGTTTTTAAATCTGATATGTAACCTTCATTTAAACTGTTTCTCAAGTATGTTCATTAAACTGAACCATCTCTGGATAGCTGGTTAGAGCAGTGCTAGAGACCTTTTTGTCCTGCTTTATTATCTTTAAAATCCCACATCATCCAAATCAACTTCAGGTTTTAAAGTTTCACTGAGATGGCACAATTGTTTCCATCACCTCTCCGTGGTGAAGCCTCTTCTTCGTGTGTCAGGTAGATGGTTCTAATAAATTGAAATAATTAAAAATGCTTCCATCATGGTTTCTGCCTGATAAAAGATGAATTATATTTTCTAAGCAATATACATAGATCCCTGGGAAGAGCGTTAAATTTATTATTCTTATCAAATGGTATGTCTTTAAACTTATCCAACTTAATCAAATCTTTAACTTGAGACTTATTTTTTCCAATGCCAATCTTTAAATTTTCCAGAGATCTTATGATAATATTTGATTAATTTTCCCACTTTCTAAATGTAAATTGATCTTGACTCTAATGCAAGTGTGAAAGTAATGAAAATTTCTCAAGACTGTCAGTCATTAAAGCAAGGTCTTGCAATTTTGGCTAATCTCTTCGCCAAACCAGAAGACGAGGAATGATAAAAGAGAATGCATACCCAGCTGGCTGCAGGCACCCCCAGTAGCAGGGACTCACGAACTACCCACCACTTGTCTTCGTCCCAGTACTTGATCCATTTCAATAATTTATATTTCATATTTTTTGGCTACATTTTCCAGCACAGCGTAATTTTTATTAGATCCAGAAACATTTAAAATAATTGACTTGTTTTATTTCAGATATTGAACACTGAGTGATAATTGTGATTGATCATTTAAACAAGGCCAGATGTCGACTTTAGGAACATTTCCTGAGGACTTCGTAGCTGCTTCTGACTTTCTTCCCAGCATTGTATCAGGACCAACAGAACAAAATGCAATTAAGTTGGCCTTCAAATATTAGTAGAGCCACAATCATCTGAAATTCACAATAATGTGTTGAAGATAACACTCTGATGTGGTTGCCACCAGTTCTTTGAAAGCAACAAATAATATTCCCAGTATTGGAGCTGATTGAAATGTGTGCACTGGAGAGAAATCACTGTAGATGCCCCATCAGTTTTGACAGGGATTTCAGCATTGTTTTCTATCGTATGCTTCAACATCTTCATCTCAGTTTCTTTTGTGAATATTTTGCTATTCTTGCTGCATTATGTTGTGCATGTAACCAACTGCTTCTCTATCCACCCCTTTACCCTTGTAATTCTGTTGCTCCCTCTATCAAATAAAGGCCTCTTACATTTGACTAAGTTGCAAAAATGGCATCAATATTTTTGTTATTTAGTTTATGCACTAACTTGGAAACTGGGTCATTAGCCAATGCTTTGAACAATATAGGTTTTATGTAGAAACATTGAGTTCCCTGATATAATTTTTTTTCACATAAAAAGTTGACAAGGAGTTTCATTACTGCCGTTTGGAGTCACTAAAGTATGCGTGAACCCGTAAATGTGATTTTTTTTCTGTTAACTCCTAAATGCTGAGCTGTCGAACACTCCTGACGTCCTAATTTACCTTCTTTAATTTCTACACTTCTGCTTGTTTCAGTTCCAATAACCTGGAAGCAACCTATGGTCTAGACATGATGATTTTTCTTCAGTGCATGGTCATTCAAAAAATTTGAAATTTGGTTCTGTTGACTTAAATGCTCCATGATTATTCTTATTCCCACTGTTATTTTCTGTGTCTTTTCACTTTCTTCATATTAAAAAACTTGAATAGCTCACTGGCATTTTAGGGAACAGAATCTGAAAAAGAATTGTATGTTTGCCTTACTAAAATTCATATGCTGATTGAAGGTTAATATAAGAAAAATGTTAATTATTTCTTTATATGATTTGAGAAATAACAAATTTTAGGTTAAAACACTTATCTTATATTTCAGTTTACACCTAAAACTTCAGTGCTACTACTATTTCTTACAAAATCCCCGCTCAGTTTTTGTCATTCTATTGCAAGCAATAGGGTCACAAAACCAGATCGTGAATAAATGCAATGATACAAGTTACTTGTATCATTGATGAACCAGGATGGTACCCACACGAATTTTGGCTGATATTTTCACTTATGTTAATAAGTAAGATGAAAGCAAAATAACCAAGATGTATGGAGGAGCTTCCCTCATTCATCAATGGCAGGAACAAAGCTTTTGCTGAAGTGAATAATGGTTTTTGAAAACTGGAAAGACATTTCCACCGTTTTAAAATCTTATTCACAAGGCAGCAGCTCTAAACATGGCCCACGTTTGAATTTCATCACATTTTGAATTTTTTCTCCATCACTCTCTGAAGTCAAGACCAGGAATCAGCGCACTGCAATGGACGGGCCAAATCCGAATTGTATTTCAAAATGAAAACAAACCAACAAAACTGTTCTTAGCTGGAGGGCACACAGAAGCAGCAGTGGGCTGGATTCGGCTCTCTGGGGATAGTGTGCTGACCTAGTCTGGAATCAAGCCCTGATCTGTATCATCTACTGATGTCTGTGGTGCAAACACTCCCCAAATGGCCACTCCAGGCTACCTACATGACGTCACTAAATATGGAGTTGGGAAGACATGCACAGTAGGAGGCCCTCATAGAGAATTTTCACCAAACAGATGCAATAGAAATAGCCTCCAGAACACAGATAATAGTAAAATAATTGGGAAGGGATGCATGTTGAGTATTTGTTTTTAATACAATTTATTTGATTGTAAATTTACTTGATCTAATTTTTAATAATGGCTATATTTAACAACTGGGTCACAAAATTCCTAAACATTTAACAACTGGCTCTTGTGAATCCACACAATTAACTAGAACACAACTGGCATTTCCTCAGTTGGAAGTCAGGGATAGAGCTCACCAGTCAGAGGAAGAAGCCAGCCACCTGAGAAGGAAGGGTCACCCTACCCTCCGAGAGGATCTGAGGAGAGCTTGGTATAGTACTGACAGCCAAAGCCAGGAGGTCTGTGTGGAAAGAGCTCCCAGAGGGGACACTCGCCTTACCAACTAGGCTGATGCCTGTTCTTGGACAATTGCCTGGGGGCCCTGACTAGCTAAGAGTCTTGTGGGTGGTGGGGGTGGACCAAGAGCCAGGTCCCTCCCTGCTCTGCCCTGCTGCCCCTCTTTATGTCCACTCCTAAGAATGTCTTCAGAACTTTTGTACATTGACTCTCATTAGTCAACCTTGAAAGGACATCTTAGTGGCTTAAGCAAGTCATAATTATTGGGAGGCAGCATGGTGTAGCATATAGAGAGTCACTCGGAGAGTCACGATGGCTTGGGATTGAGGATTGTCCCCAACACATGCTAGCTGTATGACCAGGACTTAAATCAGTGTCCCCAGCAATGGGCAAAGTCAAGTCGACCGATTAGCAACATTTCTAAAGGGCCTACAGTGTGCGAAGTGCTGGGAATGTGAAAAAATTGTGGAGCGGTTCTTGCCTTCGGGGAGCTTACATTCCATCGGGAGATAACCTGGACATATATCAGTATACACAAAATAAATGCACGACGATTTAGGAGGGGAAGTGTTGGACACTAGCAACAAGGGGGCAGGAAAGAGGCTTCATTTGGAAGCTGTTGTCTGAGCTCAGTCTTGACAGGGAGTAAAGGTTCCAAAGGTGAGCCCCAGGAAGTGCAGAGCTGGGGGTTTCGAGTGCCATGTGGGAGAAGTAAGGAGACCAGTTTGATTGCATTGTAAAGCACATGACGTGGAGGAACTCATATGTCCGGGAGGATGGGTTGGGGCCAGGTCGTAAGGGCTTTGAATGCCCTTGATTTTGCTCTTAGAGAAGCTTTATTTTGCTTTTAGAGTTACTGGGGAGCGACTGGAGAGTCGCTAATGAGTAGGAGAGAGTCCTGACCTGTGCCTGCTCTTCAGGAACATCACTTTGGCGGCTGTATGGAGAACTGGATGGAGTGGGGTAAGATTGGAGGCAGGGACATCAGTTGTGAACCATGTGCTAAGCTTGTTTCTATCTGCTGACAGAGCACAAGAGCTGAAAGCACCTAGTAAAGTTTAGCAGCCTGGGAAAATGCCCTGACCACCCAGCCCTAGTTGCAGAAGTGGAAGGGATGTCAACAGCCATCTGGTCCAATACATAGGCTAAAGGAATTTCTACTAGGTACTCCGTAAATGTTCAGTCTCACCTTGAACATCTCCATGGAAGGCAATCCTCCACTCCCGGAAGAGCCTGTTGTACTCTTAACTGTTAAGACATTTTCCTGAGATCAAGCCTAATGCAGCTTCCACTGATTGCTCCTAGTTTTGCCCTTTTGGGTTTTCAAACAGAACAAGTTTACTTTTACTCCTCCATGTTATAGCCTTCAGATATTTAAACATAGCTTTTGTGTCCCCCAAAATCTTCTCCCAGTTAAGATCCTTGGTTCATTCCTTTAACCAGTCCTCACAGCTCTGCTGAAATACTATCTATCAGTTACAAATGGCTTGCTAATCTGCATCTGTGAAGGGAGTTTCCATCCCAGGACTTACCCCCACAGATGACATTGCAAGTCTTGACCAACACCTTTCAACCTGTACCCACCTCCAGCACCCACATCACCACAGAATTATTTACGCTGACAGCACACAGCTTTGGGTTTCATTGCTTTTGACAGTGGACTAATTTTACTTGCTGAAGCTCACGTTAGAGAATATTTCAACATGGAAGATGTGGATGGGAATCGTCCCAAGCTTGGCAGTGGCCTCCCTCCCATCTCTCCTAGGTGCTGGGCTATTCACACTTGTTTTGAATGGACACATCTGAAGCTGGAAGAGAAAGAAATGCGTTTTTAAAAAGTTCAGACTATTTTCATTTCAAACATCATTTCTGTTTTTGCGGCTGAGTGCTAGAGACAATTCTTGATTTGATAGATAAACAAACATAGAGCAATAATAGCCCAGAGTTTCTCCTAAAAATCCCCAACAGCAAAAGCTATGTCAGTTACCAAGAGGAAAAAATCAAAGACCAGGCAACACTTTGATATGAAGAAAAACATACCATCTAAGTGAAAGTCTCAGAATCTGCAGGCTCCTACGGCAGCTACTGTACTGCATGGCTTTTAAATCAATGGAAAAATAATACATACAAATGAAAAGTTTCCCTCGAAGGGATTTTTCATCCTTTCTCATAGGTACATCATTATGAGAGAGTCTTAGATGGCCACATGCCTCAGTATCTCACAGCTGTGTGAATTACACACTCACTGTACTATGTATTTCCTCCCTCACTGTTCTCAGTTAATTTCTGCCTCTTTCATTGTGCTCTGGGAATCCAAAGCGTTTACCATTTCTGTTTTGTAATATAAAAAACAGTTGGTTAAAACGGACCCATTGCCAACAGCTAATTGCTTCTGTGTGAAATGGTGTAACTCACTTAGTGTTCCCTGATGCAAGAGAACTAATAATGATCACGTCTGGAGCACAGATGTTCAGATAGTAATCTACTAAACACCTGTGTTTGTAGGTCACTTGTGGCAAAAAGAATGATTGAATTTTGAGGAGTCTTTTTAGCAAACTCTGCTGTGGGCTGGGGTGAGGGAGGAAAGAGGCATAGTTTAAAAATGTCTGTTTTTAACTTGACCGTCATCAACATGCACAAACATTTCAATAAGCAAAGAACAGAAAAGGGGGGAGCAGAGGAAACTCTGAACTTCTGTTACGTTGGTTTTCAAAGAAGTATTTCATAATGATAACTAGAATTTGTGCAGTGCTTTAAGATCTGCAGAACACTTAAATACCATCTCATTTGATCTTCAAGAACAACTGTGGGAGATGAGGGCCATTACACCCATTTTACAGATGAGAAAAGTGAGGCATGGAGAAGATAAGTGAGTAGCCTGGGTCACACAACTAGTACTTATCTGAGGTTGAATTTGAACTCAGGTGTTGGGCCATGGCCAATGCACCAACCAGCTGCCATATTCTCTTCCTTGTCTCTTCCCACCAGAAAAGAGAGAGCAAATGTTTTATGTTTGTCTTTGGACCTTCAGCACCTAGGACAGTGCCTTGCACATAGTGGGTGCTTAATAAAAGTTTATTAAATAGAAATGACTTATGCTTCTCACCATTATGAGAGCCTTCATTCACTTTATAGTCTGCATATTTGTCTAACATAATTGAATTAACTTGAGAATACAGTTGGTGGCTGAACAACAGTGATACATTTAGATTTACTGATATTTTTGTTAGATTTAATGGTTCCGCTTTTATCCTTATGAGTTATGCAGTTAGTTTAGGAAATTTAGCTGTCAAAGTAATCT